TTGGGATCGCGTGAAACGAAAACTTGATATTTGGATCGCTATTAAAAAATAAATAAATCAGTGGCACTTTTAAGTTTGGGCCTCAGATTTATGGTATCTGTTTCATGATCATTTGTCAATCTAACTTGGGTCTAGGGTTTAAGGCAAGCCGGTTTCCTCACGATGTTTTCCATCACCGTTCGAGCGAAAGTAAACACTTAGTGAGTTGCAAACTGAAGCCACTAGACCAACACTGCTCATTGGGATCGCTATTAGTACAGACTCTCAGTTAACGTTGAGGTGATATGGGTGGAATTTCGTATTCTGCCTCGACGTCCGATGATGAAACGTTTGATTTAGGGTTCAGAATTTGAACTGAGTTTAGAGTTTTTTAGTAAATAGCGCACTGAATTTGATTAAATATGTATAAACGTATGGTATATGTGACTTTTACGTAGATAGTGATGTCTTCTTTAAAACTGTGGTACATCACTTTGCTCTATTGTCAATAGTTTCGGCTCGATATGGGGTTTTTATTGGTATTCACTATCGACATTATCGAAGTTTTTATACGGATTCTGTTTTAAAACATTCTACAGCCTATGTTCATCCGATAATGCAGGATTCTATCTGTGGGAGAATTATTGAAATCCATCCAGTAGTTTCGGAGCCTATTCAATGCAAACTAACAATCTAATGTGTCCTCTTTCTAATATCAGTGTATATGTGAAGCAATTTAGTTGGACTAAGTCGGATTACGATCTGTTTGACCAACACTTCTGATTTTCATACATGATTAAAACATATGTTATAAAAACCTTATATTATTTATATTAATTAGCGCCTATGCACAGGGACCAAACTTTTTTAGTTTGTATTTAAAAAAAAATTATTACTATTATTATTACTATGTAGTTTAAGAAAATTGTATTTACTGTATGTTGGAAATTAGTACATTTAAACTAAACACTAATTAAGCAGACTATATAACTAATTTTACAGATACGTTAAAAAATAATTCTTCTCTTCACTTTTTGTACTATATATAAGAAATCCTTCCGAAGACCAAAGAGTCCATGCAAACCGTCAAAGAAAATGTCTTATTATATTTTATTGGGAGTAAAGCATTTTTCACGGGTTGGAAACGTTCGAGTGACTTCAAGCGAAATAATTGGAGCTAAGCCGCTAGAGATGCGATTTAACGATACTGAAATACGACTGACAAAATTGTTGCTTATTCATATAAGCCTCAATTAAAATACGTCATGCTGTTTTTGAGAATGACAAGGTTCTATTCCTTTTAGGCATTTATTTATTTAATCTAGGCCTGCAAATTAGTAATAAGAACATTTTTAAGAACTATTGTAGACCCTAAAGTTAAAATTCTATATAATAATATTTTTTTATTTTATTTTTTTACACTTCGTTTCATACAGAAATATAATACAATTGACATAATTAAATGAAAAGGAGGGCAACTGGCGGTCATATCGCTTTCGAGCGATATCTTCCAGGCAACCACTGTGAGAAAAAAAAATATATAAGGAAAGCAAGAAGTGCAAAAATACATAAGACATATAATTATTAAGACAAAACACATAAAAAAGAAAAAATTAACATGAATCACGATAATTTCAGATCAGTTTCACATCTGTTAGTACGAAAGTTAGGAATACGATGTGGCCAGGTAATGTTTGTACAGTAGAGATTTAAAGGAAGATAGAGAAGAAGCTAAGCGAATAGGGACGGAAAGTGGATGCCATAGCCTCATTGCAGAGACCTTAAAGGATTCGCCCAGAAAGAAAGAGTTATGAAATGGGATTTCAAGGATACAGTTTTACGGAAGAGCGTAAGCTATAGCTATGGGCTCCCAAAAATTTTTTGAGATAGGAAGGAGTTTTAGTATGGAATATAAGAGATGGACAACGCGAGCAACTCGTCGCTGACGAATGGGCAACCAGCCTAACCGCTTACGGAACGCAGAGATATGGTCGTACTCTCTTAGACTGAATATAAAACGGATACAGAAATTTTGGAGACGATCCAATAATGACCTATTCCTAAGATAATTTAGACACTGTGGAATAATACCAATCTACGAACAATTTTTTGACTCTGCCCTGAGAAGCAGTGTCGAACATTCAACGCATACAAGAGCTATAAGTAATCACAACTTCGTACAGATCACGCAAATAATGTGTACCGAGAAAGGACAACTTTATATATAATTGCACTGTATAGGTGCAGACCTAATTAGTGGCTATCACCGCTTGCGTTTAATAAGCTTCACATGGCTTGATTTAGGAGAGGGTAACTGGGCCTACGGCCCCGGGGACCCCACATTTGACTTCCGAAATGTTTTAAATTCCGACCGAAACACTAGTGAACAACTGTTTTGATATTTTTTTTCGTTATTCGCCAGGGGACTTCCACTCCCTTGTTACCCCGAGGCCTCCAGACCTCTAAATCCGGCCCTGAAGCTTCATTAGATACCGGATTACTGACCCGTTTGCAATATGTATGCAATTTTAGCAAGAGGAGTAGTGGCTTCAGCTTGACTGACACTCGCCGAAGGTTCGTTTCCCGGCACCAATGGACTTTTTTATCTATGTGCGCATTTAATATTTGCTCAGACGGTGAAGAATAACATCGTTAGGAAACCGGCTTGCCTTAAACCCAAAAATTTCGACGGCGTGTGTCAGGCACAGGAGGCACCAAGTTGCCTAATGTAAAGATCATGAAAAGAATACAGAAATCTGAGGCACAGACCGAAAAAGGTTGTAGCGCCATTAATTAATTTATTTTATACGATATTTTAAATATAAAATGTTCAGTGTCAGACCGTTAATTACCGCAATTAAATTATTTAAATATAATAATCCGTACTTTCGCATTCCTTTGTCTGCAGACACGTGACTTAGAAGACGTACAATTTTATATAATTGTTTATTACTTTGGTGTTTTATTTGTGCTTTAGTAGTAAGTGTAGTTGAAATTCTAAGAGGAAAATAGTGAAATGAAATGCGTCTTACACATTGAGACACAGCTTCAGACAGTATGAAATATGTTTGACCTACTAAATCCAATGTAAAATATTTTAAAACGATGTTTATCAGTACAACGCAACTGTGAAAATGTATTTATGCCCCTTTACACTTTACTACACGACTATTCTTGTCGTTACGACCTTTTTACGATCGGGTAAGTGACCTTATGGACTGAATAATAGTTCCTGTTACTAGTGGCAACAGAACTACAATATTAGAATGACAATTCGGATTTGTTTCGTATATAGTTGCCTTATATATCATAACGTATGTTATAATATTACTTATAGTAATGTTCTCAAATTTGGCTTAACGATATCAAAAGAAAAGAGCGTACCAATTCTTTGCTTGGCCTGTGCGTGTTGCGTTTGTGCCTTCTGGCAGTGCGAGTGTCCATGGGCGGCGGTATCACTTAACACCTGGTGAGCCTCCTGCCCATTTGCCTCCTGTAACATAAAAAAATGATAGTATAGCATACATAGTAACAGAAACAAAAGCCAACGCTTTAATCAATTGTATCAAGTTTCTACTTTACGTATAGGGAGAACCGTGGCCTCCGACGCGCTGGGTCCCACAATTTTTAAATTTGTAATATCTTCGAAAATATTCATTTAAATCATATGCTGTAAAGGGCCATATAGATCTATATTAAATCAACAATGTATTTAAGGTATTTAATTGGATAAGGATTAATGCTGTATTGGCTAAAATCGCTTCGAAAATTAGCAATTATTTGTCGTAAAAAGTATATGGCAAAAAGTTTTTATTGTGGGATATCCATAAGAGATAGACATATACCATCGCGGAGTTTTCTGTAGACCTTTTCAATGTGTACAATATTTAGTACATTATTTTGATAAATCTCGTAGGGTTCGCAATGTAAGCTGAATTTTTTTTATTATTTACGATTAAGACATCACATTAGAAACCTCAAAAATAACAGTATTTCTCCATCCATATTTAATGTATGTTATTATACATATAAACCTTTCCCTTCAATCACTCTATCTATTAAAAAAACCGCATCAAAATCCGTTGCGCAGTTTTAAAGATTTAAGCATACATAGGGATAGAGAAAGCGACTTTGTTTTATACTATGTAGTGAAGTGCCAAGTAAACACTTATCCAAATGATAAACACTATCAAAAACCACAGTACTTTAATTATAATCTGATTTGAATTGTCTGCGATCATATCAAAAATCTTCCGAATTATTAAACCGAAAGGAATCGTTGAACTATGTGATATGAATCATGCTAACCAAACCTGACCCCTAAATTAGCGTTGTAATAAGTGCACATAATTTGTAATTAGAGCTACTGGATCGTGACTAGTGAGTAATGACTCGTGCATTTCCTCTATGCTTTAATTGGAGATAATATTTAGAATCTTCTTTTGGCTTTTCGAAGCCCTAGTTTACCTGCACGGGTAAAAAACTGTTAACCTAATTCCATGTAGGTAATTCTTGAAGGATAATACTCAGTATCACGTAAACTCATTGACAAGAGTGTAATAATAAAAATAATTAAAAATAAAATTAAAACAAATGTTAAAAGTTTGGTTCCTGTGGCAGTGTACCTTTAACGCTGGGAGCTTTTCCTCTCTGTATTGCGGTACTTATTCGTTGAGCGAGGAAAGCACCAGCTCTAAGGTCACCGGTACTATCTACCAAGCGCCAACTTAAATCTTTAATCAGCGCCTGTGCACTTGAACCCCACGGCCCAAGAGGCTTAGTTGTCATCAATAATTGTCATGGAAAGTAGTGCAATAGAAATATACATAACACAGCCAATTCTATAAGGATTAGAGTTCCAAATGCACCTAAAAACCAGCCGAGCATCGTTCAATAATCGGGAAACATACATAAACACGATGTTAAGAACCTCTTAATTTTGAAGTTAAAAGAGATCTTTTGCTGAAACCAAGAAAAAAGTATAGAAAAACAAAAGAAAATGGAAATAATTATTATGTAACATGCCAGTAGGTCGGCCTAGTTACCGCTGGATAGACAGAGAGGAGGAGAACTTGCTGCAGCTGAAAGCCAGCAATTGCCGGAAGGGAGCACTGGACAGAGAGCGCTGGAAGATTCTCATTTCGGAAGCCAAGACATGTTTTGGGTCGCAGATCGAGCTCAAAAAGTAAGTATTATGTAATACTGTCATCGGATCGTTGATTATAAATAGGCCGAATCCCGAAAGTCCAACGGGAACCCGTAATTTCCATACATTACCGACATTTACATAATATGTATACGGCACACATTTCACAAACGTCCGTCATGAATAAAACAGACATTTTTGCGAGTCTCTTTTGTTCTCCGAGAATTATCATTAATTTTAAAAAGTATGTCAGTTGTTCAGAGTTTAAAATATGATTTCGGCAGAGGAGATTTGCACAATACGGGAATATAACATTGTCATTTTCAAATACGTAAGCGGCTGATAATGTTTTTTACATTAGTACTGTTTTATTTAAAATATTTGTATTTATTGCTGTACTTTGCAAATGTTTTTTAATATTCTTTAACACATTGTTTGAAAGAATTAAATCAGTGGCGCTACAACCTTTTTATGTCTGGGTCTCGGATTCTGAATCTATTTCAAGATTATTAGTCAATCTAATAGGCGGGTAGGTGACACACACCGTCGACTTTTGGGGTCTAATGCAAGCTCACCTTACGATATTTTCCTTCATCGTTTGAGCGAATGTTAAATACACAGATAGAAAGAAAGTCAATTGGTGTACAGTCCGGGATCGAACCTACGACCACAGGGATGAGAGTCGCACGCTGAAGCCACTAGGCCAACACAACCTACTAATCTTATCTTATTATAGCTTATATTATTTTCATCCACCCATTTCAATACTTTACATGATATTTTGAGAATCCTTAAATTTTTTGTATTGTTATTATTTAATAATGACTTGATTTAAAGTCGTATGTCTTCCGAGTGGGGTCAAGGGCATCCAGCATTTAAAAAAAAACCAGCCTGATCGGTCCTGGACGGATTGGATCGGTCTTGATTTCACTCCACATCATTCCAGCTTCCTTTGTCCCTGCAATGATGCTTCGTTGCCAGGTCTGCTTTGGGCAGCTATGTTTCCTATGAGGATTCCAATCGAGGGCTTCCTTGGAAATGTGACTTGGATCCGAAATGTATGGCCCATCCATTTCCACTTTCGGCGTTTTATAGACCTGTGTTTCGGCATATCATTGCAAAGCTCACAGCTAGCTGATGATTAGAGATTCTCTCGGGCCAGAATAGAAAAACGTATTATAATAATATGTTGGTAGTTACTGTGTTTTTTTTAATTCTTCTTACTATATGTTTAGTTCGTATTGTATACTATAGAAGACTAAGTTATATTTATTTTTTATTTGGTAAATTCTTTTGTATTATTAGAAATTTTTAACAGTCTGTATGAACTACAAGTAAAAGGAAATACACTTTAATCGGATTAATATTTATAATTGTGGGTAGGTTAAAAATAATTTCTTAAAAAAGAAACGATGAATGAAAGTATCGGTGCGCCGGCGCGTGCGCAAAGAAACAGATGTCTCGAGTTCGATGCCCGGTTTTGGCGGCCTACGCGCCTCTTTATTGGGGGCCTCTTCACTATATACAGTATGTTCTTTCAGTGTGTCTATATATAGTTAATATTTTTAATGGGGTATTCTTGTTGATTTAAGATTTATCTATGTGCGCATTTAACGCTAGCTGGTGAAGGAAAACATAGTGAGGAAACCTTTAGCCTTAGACCCAAAATGTCAACAGTGTGTGTAAGGCGCAGTTAACCTTTAGAGACGGTATGAGTCTTAAATAGATCATTAAGTTTTCCTGTCACTATGGCTATAGTGATAATAAATCAGTGGCGCTACAAAGTTTTTAGGTCTGGGGCTCACATTTCTGATATTTCTTTCTCACATTTCTGATATCTGTTTCATGATCATTTTTCAATCTAATAGGCAAGTAGGTGATCAGCCTCCAGTGCTTGACACACACCGTCGACTTTTTGGGTCTAAGATATGTCGGTTTCCTCACGATGTTTTCCTTCACCATTTGAGCGAATGTTAAATACACAGATAGAAAGAAAGTCGATTGGTGTACAGCTCGGGATCGAACCTACGACCACAGGGATGAGAGTCGCACGCTGAAACCACTAGGCCAACACTGCTCTTATTTGTTTATGGCGATAGAAGTAGTCCAAACCGTATACTGTAATTATTACGATATTTATCAATGTCAAAAACTAATAACAATTACTCCATCAGCTGTGTCTCATGTATTATTGGAACACCCCGTGTATCGATGTTTTATTTTTACTTTCATCATAAAGTCGATTCTTTTGTTCTTTGATGTAAGACTGCTAGCCGCCACATGGCCTCTTCGTAACTGAAATAACGTGTGTTTAAGAGTGTGTCGGCTTTTAAATTAAAACGTATGACGATTCTAGAAGGGCAGTTTTATATTATTTATATTATATATTTGCTTAAAAATACAATAAAATATGATGTTACATTTCAAACACACAAATATACAATATTTACAATCTTATTAACCTACATAGTATAAATATTTATAAAGGGCCTTGCGATTCTATAACTCACTTTTCGAACCCTCTTCGAACTTGGCATTCTGATAAACAATAAACTACATCCTTATCAGAATGCCAAATCGTTAAATGACTGCTTCACGACTGATTTGAGCGCGACCGCCGCTGTGAAAACCACGTGAGTTCGAAAAGTGAGTAACAGAATTGCAAGGCAGTGTACCTTTAATTCTGGCAGCATTTCCTCACAGTATTGGGATACTTATTTGAGCGAAGAAAGCACCAGCTCGGCGTTCACTGGTACTGTCTACCTACTTAAACTTTTAATTAGCGCCTGTGCACTTGAACCCACAGCCCGCCGCCTTTTATTTTTCACATCAATTAGAACATTTAAGTTATAAACCAACAAGGAAAACAATACAGGCACACAGCAAAAATAAAAAGAAACTGGGAACTTAAACCTCATAAGAGCGTAATAAACAAAATTACGGTAAGTTTGTTGTGAAATAAATTATTTTTTTCAAGATGTTCTTGTTACATACAGTTTAATTTTTTAACAACTTGTATTAGTACGCGCATAACATCCGAAGGAACTGCACAATTTTTTGTATTCGTTATTGAATTTGGTATAAAAAAATAAATTGCATAAGATGAAAAGTGAATGAAAGTCAAAGTCAAATCATTAATTCAATTAGGCACTTTTGAAAGTCAAATTTAAAAGTGAAAATATTTAAAAAAAAGACCCCCTTCCAAAAAGTAGTTTTATATCTAAAAGAATGGACAAGAAACTCCATACTTACTCTTTTAAAATAGTTTTTAGACATAGACTTAGACATAACATTAATCACAAACAAAAACACAAAATTCCCTTTTCCTTTCGGTTCATTTCAAGTGTGTAATGCGTGTGTGCTGTGGCTGTAATTGGCCCTTTTACAATATTTTGTATACATTGATTTGATAATTTTATGTGAAGACCATGTATGAGTACTTTTAATGTTCTACTCGTAGCTAGTGCATAATATTTATATGATAATGTATTATTTTTTCTACTTTTTAATAAAACAGGTATACCCCTAAGCCCCCTTCGATAAGTTAATCGAGTTATCCACGTTTGGACTGTATCATATAAAAAAGTACAATGTACTAAGCGAACATTCACCCTTAGTAATTAATTTCTGCGCTATCAAACCGGCGCCAAATCTCGATAGCACTTCATTGTCATGCTGAATACTTATTCATAATGAACATTTACAAGACACTTATTTTTCTTTTTCAGCGTCGAATAAACTTGAATTATTATATATCTGAAGATGTATATTTCTCCTTTATGAGTTAGTATGATTTTAGTCAAAATCTTTTATATAGATACTGGCTATATGAAGTAAATAACCAAATAGCTTACTTACGTATAAAGGCGAGGTCCTGAATTCTATTTGCGACGAAATATCGTTTTTCGGTTCTGACCTATTTTAAAATTGGTAAACCAGATGTCGAGCAGACAAGAAATCATATAACACTTTTTAGTGAAAATGTTATTTTTTTAACTTTAAAACGATTTCATAAATAAAAGACAATATCAACTACTTCTCACAATACTATACTATAATAAGCCTCGGAGATTAAGCAAAAAATATTAACGAATTTCAGCTGAAACATACTGTTTTTGTATATATTCTGAGGTCGTAGGTTCGATCCCCGGCTGTGTACCAATGGACTTTCTATGTGCGCATTTAACATTCGTTCGAACGGTGAAGAAAAACATCGTGAGACATGCTTAGATCCAAAAAGTCGACGGCGTGTGTCAGGCACAGGAGGCTAATCACCTACTTGCCTATTAAATTGACAAATGATGATGAAACAGATACATAAATCTGAGGCCCAGACCTAACAAGGTTGTAGCGCCACTGATTTTTGTTTTATTTTATTTTTTTAATGAGAAATTGCTATTGTTTGGCAAAGTTCTGACGTAATTAAAACGTCATTTAAGTCTAGTGCACAACGTGTGTGCCCAGTACAATAAGAGGCCTAGTTTCACACACAAAGAGACAACCGGATGTCGCTTCGTTACAATAACTAGCTATATTCCGCTGTTTTATTTTGGAAAATAATTTTAAAACGCGAATAGCTTTTTTGATACGCGTGAAAAAAGATACCAAATATAAATTATTTACTCGAAATATACATCAAAAGCAAAAAGTGCTACTTATACTTAAAAAAAGACATACACACTTTAAATCAATAGAAATGAAAAAAATAATAACAAGTGATAATCGTACTTAATTAGAGACAACAGAAGTATAGCTTAAAGCAAGGGAATTTAATTCAGAGTATTCTTTAGTGAAGAATACTTAAAATAAATGATTTTCGTTCTTTTAATAAGTATTCTTTGATTACACAGTATCAATTATTGTAATTAGAAAGTGTTATTACCACTAATGCTTAACGAGGTGTTGAGTTTGTTTGTCTGAATATCTGCCATAGTAACACCTAAACGAATGCACCAATCGATGTTGTACTACAATTAATGTAGATCAGGAGTTTTAAGGAAAACTCGTGCAATCTGCGGTAGAAATAGTGAAGGTTTAATTTTCTGATGTTAACTGGATCCTAGTGTTTGTACAAAAAAAATCGAGCTGTTTATTTTTTTCGTAAAAAATACTTCGTTGAAGTAAAATTATAAATCAACATACAATTTTTATTTATTTATTTATATCATCACGCCTGTTTCCCGAAGTGCTAGGCAGAGATCACGGATTTCTCTCTTCATCCACTTTCATTATATTCTCCATGCATACGCGTCGGTTGTAGATTTTTAGATAGTGTAAAATGTGTATATGATATGTACATGTCAACTTAAAATGTATTTGTTGAACGTTTGGTAAACATCTCCTTTATATGAAGTGAATTTGATTAGTGTATTTGATAAAATATTCTAAGGAACTTACTGAGAACATAGATTTTCCGTTCTCCGAACTGATTTTAATTTTTCAATCACATTTCATTAAAATAAATCAAGATTAATAGCAATTAAACTGAATTAATATATATTAAATACAAAAATATTCATTTTCCATAAGATTGTTCACATATAACAGAATACATACAATACATGACTGAATACGTAATTTTAGTTTTGTAAAGAAGAAAGAGTTAACAAACAGACGTCATTTTCAGTATATATAACCGTTCGTGCTGAAAAGATTTCATTAATATTGCTTCAAAATTCATTTTAACCTAGTTTCAAAGTTTGCGAGTGGAGTTGAGTTTTAGTTTCTGCTTGTCGATGTTTTTTGTAAATAGGCTTTTACGTCAATTGACGCATTGTACCACTTTTGCCTTTACGTAAATTAATACTTTGTTTATACAGAATCCTCGCCTTCGCACGCGAGGTTGTTTTTTAAACATCTATATTCTATATATTAAAAAATGAATTGATCACTTAA